AATCACTCTGGACCCCTCACATCCAGCACACTCTCCTCTTTGAACTGTTGCCATCTGGTCGACGCTACAGAGCACTGAGCACCAGAACGACCAGACACAGGAACAGTTTCTTCCCTCAGGCCATCCATCTCATGAACACTTGACAATAACTGTGGAACACACACTGTTTATTCACTCATACACTTATTTATCTAACACACATACTCAGTCTACATTTCAATTTGCACATAATATACCTGTACATACAACTGTCTATTGTTATATACCTGTACATACAATTGTCGATTTGTATATTTTTATTCCTTATTTACTTGTTCTATTTAAAAAATTATTTTTTTTTAATCTGTGTTTTTTTGTTCTTTCACTGTCATTCTGTTACACTGTGGAAGCTTCTGTCACGAAAACAAATTCCTCGTATGTGTAAACATACCTGGCAATAAAGCTCACTCTGATTCTGATTCTGAAAAGACGTTTAGTTCCCAATTTAAGTGAACCTTAGTCCCCAGGACATCTACAAGATGGATTAAAATTCTGATGCTGTAAAAGGAGGGGAGACATAAACCCATGACAGTATGACTAAAATGTTAAAGTGTAAATAATAATAATAAATAAATAAAACATGCTTATTCTGTGGCACTTAAAAAAATAATTTGGCGCCCGTTTTTGTTTCTTATAGGAGCCAATGTCTCAAGTGATTTTTTTTTTTTTTTTGTCTGAAGCCCTGATATTAGAATGATTTCTGAAGGATCATGTGACACTGAAGACTGGAGTAATGATGCTGAAAATTCAGCTTTGATCACAGGAATAAATTACATTTTAAAATATATTAAAATAGTAAACATTTATTTTAAATTGTAAAAATATTTCACAATATTACTGTTTTTACAGCATTTTTGTGCAAATAAATGCAGCCTTTGTGAGCAATCTTCCTTAACACTTAAAAAAATGGTAGCATTGGTATTATAAAAATACTAGTTAAATAGAATATCAATGCATTTCATTTTTCCCATCAACAGCAAAACTACATCAACAAAAAGTTTCACTATTAATAAAATATCATATAGTACCATGGTAATGTTTTTTTTTTCTTTTCTCCCACATGTACCATACAAATGGTACATGGTATTCTTTTGGTATCATGGTATTCTCTTGGTATCATGGTATTCTCATGGTATTCTTGTAAACAGTGTTATATGAATATGGTAATCAAAGTACCATGGTATCACTATTTAAGACTATTAACACATTTAAGAATCTCAATATATTTACATTTTCTATTTTGAGCAACATTCTTACTCACTACTTTAACATAATACTGACTACTAAACGAAAACATTTAAAGTAGCAGTTCACAAAAAAAAAAATAGTCATTAGTTACCTTGACATCATTCTAAACCCATATGCCGTTATTCTTTGATCAATCTTCACAAGAGGAAAATTAGTCAAGCAGGTTTGGAAGAGCACTGATGGTGAGTAAATGACATCAGAAACATTAAAGGTATAGTTCACCCAAAAATGAAAATTCTGTCATTCATTTACTAGTTGTTCCAAACCTGTATGACTTACTTTCTTCTGTTGAACCAAACTTTCATAGTATTTCCCGCCCCCCCTCCCAAAATATCTCCTTTGGGTTTGGAACATGTGGAGGGTGAGTAAATGACGGAATTTTCATTTTTGTGTGAACAATCCCCATGAGTCAGGTATGACACGCCACTCTTCATTAAGAAATATTTCTGAAACTGAGGCTGCGTTTACACGACAACGATGTAGTCAAAAGCGGAAATGTTTTTCTCTTGCATTTTTAAAAAGTTTCACGTATACACGACAACGTTTTTCAAAACGATTTGCGTTTACACATATCCGCGAAAATGGCCAAAAACGCTGTATTATGTATGCCAGGCCAGTAGTTGGCGCTGTCACCTTGTTAGTAAACAGTACCTGTTGCCTTGTGTATATGATGCGTCTCTGCTGTTGGTTGTAATATTGGTGAAGTAAATCCACACTTTGCTGAAGAAGCGTTAGCAAACTCTTGAGCAGCAACAACACTACCATGTACTCCGCCATTGTTGTGTATGTTTGTTCGCGCTTGCCTTTAAAATCAACACATACTGCGCATGTTTACATACCTAACACGTACTATGCATGCGCATGACGTCACCGTTTTCAAAGATTCCCGTATTGGGTGTTTACACGGAAACGATAACGGTGGCATTTGCAAAAACATGCACTTTGAAACCCGTTTTCAA